GTGCCCTCATGATAAGATTGTTATTCCAGTTGAAGTCCACACCTGCAACTACGAATTATTGTCTGTTTTATATGTTATAAGACATAGATTTTCTTATATATAAATTATCCTTAATCTCGACTTCAGATTAATATTAAGCCATTTTGGCAGGCATAAAACAGATATTAATGCATGAACATTTAAGCCATGGATAAAGACCAGGCATTGCATTTTAGGTGGGGTTTGTGAAAATTGATGAGATTCTTCTACTATGTAGCTTTAAGAGTCAATAAAAGTTTAGCTCTAAATTTAATGCATCTCTAGTCTAAAGTTTCTTGATAGATTAGTGTTTTCCTACGTACATAATTTTGCTTCTATTGTAGGCATAATTTCCGAAGAAAAGTTTAGATAAAAGTTGGCACAATCTTTCTGGTGATTCTTTAATTTGGTCTAAAATAAATTATATATGTACACGATGGATTCTTCATGTCTTGTTCTTTTTACTTTACTTCTATTTAAACGCAAAAGCATCTAGATTCTATCTTTACTCGTGTAATAATAATAACAATATGGTGAGATGACCTTAGGAATATGCATATAAATCCCTGTCTCAATCCACATGCACTTTGAATTAAACTAATATTATAGCATAGATAATTGTTTAGTCTTTGTTATAGGCATTACAAAATACCAACTTGGATACGTTAGCTTCATGCATATTATTTGTCACTTATGTTTATAAGAGTTATCTCAGGTTTTTGTTAGTTACGGATAATCAGTCTTGACAAAATAAAAAAAATGTTATTTAGTTACATTTTAGAAAATTTTACCTCATACTTCTACACTAAATTTTTTGGACCAAAATACCTTAGTATAAATAATTATAATTTTTTTCGTTTGTTCACCGGAAGACTTTTTGCAAGTCTTTCGGTTCACATTTTTTTTGTTTGTTCATCGGAAGACTTTTTACAAGTCTTCCTGTTCATATTTTTTTATTTTTTATTTTTATTTTTTTAATATTAAAAGTTAAAATAAATTAATATGTATAATTAATTTGGTGCTATAGTAGGTTTACCCATCTATTTTTTGGCATGAGTTTTTTTCTTTAACTTTTTTATTTAATTAAATTAAATAATTAAAAACACGAAGGTTGTTATTTTAAACAACCAAGTTGTCATTTAGTTAAATAGTTAAAAAAGTGGGTGTAATTTTTTTTTATTTTATAAATTTTTTATTTAATTAAGCAATCATAAAGGTGGAGTTGGAGGTTTTCAATGTTATTATTTACTATTTAATTAGTTATTAATATTTTAAAAGTTAATAATTATTGTTTAAATAATTATAGATGTTATATATTATAATTTTTTGTTGAAAATTTTTGATAGAAGAAATGATAGGATTATAATTTAAATATGATATTTATTTTTATTTTTCATATAAATATATTATTAAATTATTAATTTTCTTTCTTTAAAGAACACAATTAATATACAAATTAGTTAACCACTTTTATTTTTATTGATTAAACAAAACAATACTAAATTAGTGGAGTAATTATTATTAAGTAAATAAATATAATAAATTAATAAAAAAATTAAATTAATAAAATAATTATTACTAAATAAATAAATAGAATAAATATAACAAATTACAGAATAAATAGAGTAAATAGAATAAATATATTAATTAACTAAAATATAGTAAATAGAATAAATATATTCTGTAATTTGAATATAAAAAAAAATTTTAAAAAAATATGAACCGAAGACTTGCAAAAAGTATTCCGGTGAACAAACTAAAAAAAATGTGAAACGGAAGACTTGCAAAAAGTCTTCCGGTAAACAAACGAAAAAAAAAATGTGAACCAGAAGACTTGTAAAAAATCTTCCAGTGAACAAACGAAAAAAATTATAATTATTTATAGAGGGTATTTTGGTCCAAAAAATTTTAGTATAGAAGTATGAGTATAATTGTAGGAATATGGGGTAAAATTTCCTACACTTTATGTGAAAAAAATATTTTATAAAATATTTTTATTACAATTTAACCATAATAAATTTTGAGTTACGATCATTAAAAATGTTCATGAGATTAGTTAATGTATAAGTTTTTTTTCTCTCAAACAGTAATGAAGAAGTACAAATCTTAGAAGTTAGAAAATTCTCTATGTAATTTAAAACTTTTAATCTTATAAAAGTACAAATTATTAAATATATTAAAAGAAATTGTGTATTAGCCATGAATATTACGTCACTAAAAGGAGACGTTGTTACGTGAAAATCACATCGAAACTCTTTTAAAATAATAATAAAAAATAAAATTCAACTTTTCATGTGACAGGAGAGTAAACTTTGTAGTGACATTAAAAACGTATCGCTACCTTAAAGTTTAAAATAAATAAAAAATGAAATTTAACTTTTTATGTGGGAGAAATTTAAATTTTTTGAAAAATTTATAGTAACGTTGAAAACACAATTGATCTAAAATTTTGGTGAAAAAAGTTGACGGTTGAAATTAATTAGGATAAGCAGGTTGACTAACACATTTATGGTGCAAAGTATTAGTATCGACCAACATGTTCCAAGGATAGTAGTTAAAAAGTTATATTTTAATTTATTACATATTTTTAATTAAAGTTAATTATATTAATTAGACTAAAGATAATGAGAGACCACCACATATTAGTGAGTCATTTGTAAAGACTCATACTAAAAAATTATGGGATTTTCTTGACGACCATTCTAGAAGAACTTTTATAAGTTATTTATATTTCATTATTTTATTTTATTCTTGTATATAACTAAATTGTTTAAATTATATTTAATTTAATGAAAAATTTGCAACGTGATTTTTACGTGTCAACTGAATTGTCACATGCATTCCTGCAACGTTTTTGCTCATGTTACTAATTTATGGTTTGTGCCGAGATATTGTTTTTTGTGGCGTGAAAATCGTGTGGCTATATTTCATTATTTTATTTAATTTGATTCTTGTATGTAACTAAATTGTTTAAACTATATTTAATTTAGTTATATATGTTTGTATGTGCATGTATGTGTGTCTGCGCGCATGTGTGCATGTGGGGATGGGGGTGACTATCAGAGATTGCTCATAATTTCTAATTGAAAATCCTTAGTATACTTCGATAGGTTCAAATCCAATTGATCCATGTGTGGGTTTTTATATTTGGAGTTTAGTAACTGGCGGGAGAGGAGTTAATGTGTGTATTTTCGGTGTTGGATCTTTGGCCAACAACTATAAAAAAGAGCATAAAAATTTATTTGGAACAATTGCAGATGGGGAAGGAACGTCACATCCACCATAATTGACACTCGAAATGATAGAAAACGTTAGACAACTGGCGTTAACTGAAGGGAGATGCGAGACGACGAAATGTGAGGTGACACTAAAGGCAGAATTTGAGGCAATGAAGAAGAGATAATTTGAGATGGAGGAGCAAATGCGACAATTTATGTATTCACAAATGAACCTAATATATGGTTCGATGAATGGAAATCAAGAGTTTGATGGAAATGAAGAAGTTGATAGCTAAAGAACGGTAAACGAGGAGGATGAAGATGAAGATGACGAGTTTGATGTCGATGATGTTAGATTAATTAAATAATTAATCATATATGGATTGACATAATTAATTATTAATTAATTATATTATGGTCTATTGTTATTAAACACTAAATATATGAATTGTATGATTTGCTTTTGTGCCTGAATGGACCGTGATGGGTTGGACCATTCAGTTAAACCCAATGAGATGTCTTTGCCCTCCGCCGTTTAACTATTTAAGTGTCTCCCTATTAGACAATTAACCTACATTAAAAACTTTAAACATCAATGAGGATAGTAATCATCTCATACTCATTATCCCTGACAATAATCTCTCAAATCCTACAAAGTACATTGTTCTTATTATTCTTGATTATTTAGTAATATTATAATATGTTATGATTTGTATCTAAAGATTAACAATTTAATCATTTAAATCCTTTAGATGATTGCTTTTTTATTTATTTATTTTACTTTTAAACATTAATTTATGTATACTATTATCATTCATATTTGAAAATATTTTTATTATTTATTAATTTTCATTTTTATTAATTATTAATAATTTATTTTAAAAAAAAAACTCTGCAAAATGAAAATTGTGTGGCAAAATTTTGACACGTTCTTATTTTTGTGGTGTGTTTACCACGTCGCAAATCTGACACATATTCATTTTTGTGACGTGTTTACCACATTGCAATATGTCAACACTGCACCTCCTTTTGCGCCTATTGAATCTGCAATCTATATAGAAATTTGTGGCGTGATTTTCACGTTGTAAAGTGTTGCGACACGAGTTTCACGTGGCAATCACGTGAAAACTGAGTTGTCACATGCGCTCCTTCTGCATGATTACTCACGTCGCTAATTGAAGGGTTGTGACGTGATATTGTTGTTTGTGACGTGAAAATCATGTGGCTAATGAGTGTTTTTTTGTAGATATCTAACTTTTACTTTGTCTCTGTTTGATAAAAATAACGGTTGATTGATAAGCTAGTTTATAGCTTATAGCTTATGGCTGATAGCTAATGGCTAATAGGTGATAGCTGATGGTTGAAGACTAATAATTGATAAGCTAATTGAAGTGCTTAGTAAAATTAACTTATAAATGTAAAATGACATAAAAGATATTTAATATATAACTATTTTATTTTTAATTAAAATAAATTATAAAGGATAAAAGTATACTTTTGTTAAAATAATAAATTAAAATGCTATTTAAAATAACGTCTAAAAAAATTATTTTGCAACACCATATACATGTTCCTTAAATGTTCTATGGGGGAAATTTTGAAATGTACTCATACCATTGTTTTAACATTACTTGATAAATGACCCCTTAGATACTTATGAGAATAATTTTTAGTTGTTGTACTTTCCTTTAACAAAATACTATAATTTTTAAGTGTTAGCATACAAATCTGACATTATTAAAAATAATTCAAATTTAGGTTGCAATGGGAGCTCGTGGGAAAAGGGGACGTGGGCGGCCACATATGGTGCCTTTGTCACCGGTCACTATTCCAATACCGTCGGAAGCTACGGGGAAGGATACTCCGCTCAAGGTCGCTGAAGAACTGAGTAAGGAGGAAACTAAGAATGAGAAAGAGGATTTAGAAGATGAAATAGTTGAGGAAACTGAAACCCTAGAAACGAAGGTCTACGCTAAGAAAGAGGATTCAGATAACAAGGTCGTGAAGACGGATCGAAAGTTGTGGGTTGATGTGCTGAGTGAAAACTGTAACTCATCGAAAGGACTCACGATACAGTATGTTGCACCAAAGTTGATTAATGAAAAAATGGAGATTTGAATTGAAGAAGATGATATTGCTTTAGAGGTGAAATTTTGGGAGACCGCTCTAGTAATGTACGCGTTGGGGGGAGATCTAAACATGAATACGGTGGAAAATTACATGATAAAGATGTGGAATTTTGTCAAGTTGCCAGATATGTATTATCACGATGATGGATACTTCATTCTTTGATTCCACTCTCATGCTGATATGGATGATGTGATGATGCAGGGTCCCTATACAATCAGTGAAGGTGTGAGAAAACACAAGAAATGAGGGTTTGAATTGGGTTTTCAAAAATGAAAGCTTTTTGAGAAACTCAAACAAAGATCACAAATAGACTAATCAAGAAAGAAAGACACACGATATATCCTGGTTCACTTGAAAACTATCAAGCTAATCCAATCCACGGGCCAAGGTGATTTCTCCTTATACACAAGGACGTAATCTACTATAATCAACTGATTACACTTCACTAGTAACCGCCATTGAATAACAATACAGACAACTGTCTCTTCTTAAGGATTCTGACCCAACTGGTCCCTTAAGGAAATACAATTTGCATAAGCAACCGCTGGTGACTAACAACAAAGACTAACCGTCTCTTCTTAAAGATTCTGACCTAACTGGTCCCTTAAGGAGTTACAAACAAAAGTTTGAACAAAGATGTTTACAATGAAATTTCTTCTACATAAGCAGATATAAACACTATTAATAGCTCAAATGTCTTAAAGACACTAATACAATATGAATAATATTCTTTTTTTGTATTGTGGCACTTCAATACCGTAACTTCAATTCTTCAGAGACTGCTTTCAACCAAAGAGTAACCTTTGTATTAATCGTTGTAAAGCTTCTTAATTTCTTCAAGTAATTAAGTTCTTATATAGCCAGAAAAAGATCTGTTGGAGGGAAGATCAAGAATATCCTTTAGGTAGCTGGCGAGTTGAAATAATATCGTTACACATGGATGAAAATCATACACAAAAGTTGTCCTTTGTACCACCAAATCAGGGTAGTGGAATGGTAATGGAATGAAACATTGAAACGTACTATGTATTATTTTCCCTTGTAAACGTTTGAGTTTTTGTTCTTTACATCAGAGGCTTCTGAATAGAGATGATTGAAGCATGAGTAGAAGATTTGATCACTAGGTCTTCATATTCTTGAGTCGTCAAAGTCTTCAGAACTTGTTCACCAGAACCTTGTCTTCAGAACCATAAGAACTCAGTCTTCAAAACCTTTGGTCACTAGTAACTTAAGTCTTTAGAGTCTTCAGAACATTGTTCAGCATAACTTTATCTTCAGAGTATTCAACACTTATTTTTTAGAAACTCAAGTCTTCAGAGTCTTCAGAACTTCGTTTAACAGAACCTTGTCTTCAGAGCCTTCAACACTTAGTCTTCAGATGCTAGAAATCCTTCAAAAGTAAAGTATCAGAGTCATGATCAAAAGCAGAAATCAAGAGAGCATTGCAGCAACAACATATTATCTTCTTAGAATCTTTCTGAGTGAGAGTAGATCAGAAGCAGACTTGCTTCTTATAGCGCACAAGCGACTTTGGTTAGATTAGAGTAATCGTTGAATATGATCTCTATCAGATTCAGAACCTGTTTGTTAATTCTTCAAAAAAACAGACGTTAGAATACAAAATTATTCTCACACAAATACTACTTTGTTATTATCAAAACTTAGAGATATCTTGCAAAAGCAAATCTTGTTCTATCAATCTCCCCCTTTTTGATAATGACAAAACCATGTATTTTAATGACACAATTTTGTACGATGATAATCAATAGGAATGATAGAGATAAGTTTAGAAATAACTTCCCTTTATCAAAGTTTCCCCTGAATCTAAGATCTAAACATATTATCAGATTTGGGATTAGGGGTGTTCATGGGTGCGGGTCGACCCGCAAACCCGCCTACCCAAACCGAACCAACCCACTAATTACCCGGACCCATTCATTTACGGGTATACCCGACCCAACCCGTAACAACCCGTATAGATTTGGTTCGGGTATTGGGTTTTAGTTTCTAAACCCATGAACCCGTTGACCCAACCCGTTGACGTGGCATAATTAATTATTATTATTATTATTTATAAATTTTAAAGTTGCTATAACTTTGTAAATTGTAACGTACACAAAGATCTTTTGCACTTTCCTTCCAGTTTCCAATCACACATTAAATTATTATTATTATTATAATTAAACATTATTATTAATATTAATCATGCTTGCTTGACTTATGCACTTCTAGTTTACACTTTACTGTCTTTTTATTTTTTTAATGAATCTTTATTAACTAATAATAATTAAGTATATATTAGAAACTTACTAAACTAAAGACAATACCACTTAACCTAACCCTATTTTTTTACTACGGCAAATCTCAAACGTCACCACTCCTCTTTCTCTCACGATTTTTTTTTTCATTTTACTCTCTCACATTCCAATTCCATCTTGCTTTCGAAAATCCACAGTCTATACTTTGACTCTCTCATAGTTTCGTCTCCATATTGAATAAGGTTTTATACTTTTTATAGTTCTACAATATATTTATTTCAATACAATATATTGTTTTTACAGTATGTACTTCAATAGTTTTATATCAATGCAAAATATGATGATAGGTTCAATGTAATGTACTATTTTGTTTCATATGATGCAAAGTACTATTTTGTTTCATATGATGAAAATATATTTTGATGCAAAGTCCTGTTCTGTTTCATATTATTAATTTAAATATATTTTGTTTAATGTTGTTTTAATAATAATTTATATTAAAAATTGTTTTTTTTTATAGAAAATGGAAGTGGAACAATCACAAATTGTCAGTGAAGATGTTGCTCATCCACTTGAACAAGAGCAAGAAGTTCAACAAATACAAGGAGAAGGGTTGTCATCATTGCCACCAAGTGCACTAATAGAGATAAGCAAAAGAAAACCCTCTAGAAAACCTTCTACAGTTTGGAAAGATTTTAAAAGGGTTAATGATAAGGCTATATGTAAGTATTGTGGGAAACAATATGCTGCAAATAGTGATAGTCATGGCACTACTAACATGCATAAACATTTGAAAGTGTGCCTAAAAAATCCAAATAGGGTAGTTGATAAGAAACAAAAAACTATAGCTATTGGAAAAGAAAGTGAGGATGATCCTAATAGTGTTAGCTTGAAACTTGTTGATTTTAATCAAGAGAGGACTAGATTAACACTTGCAAAGATGATAATCATTGATGAGCTCCCTTTTAAATATGTTGAAAATGAAGGATTTAATATGTTCATGAAAGAGGCTCAACCAAGATTCAAAATTCCATCTCGTGTCACTGTTGCCAGAGATTGTTTATGCTTGTACTTCGATGAGAAAGAAAAATTGAAATCTATGTTGTCTGCTAATAAACAAATGGTGTCTCTTACCACTGATACTTGGACATCGATTCAGAATATGAATTATATGTGTGTTACAGCTCACTATATTGATGATGAGTGGAATTTAAAGAAGAGTATATTAAGCTTTGGTATAATTGCTGACCATAAAGGTGAAACTATAGGGATAACATTAGAGAATTGCATGAAGGAATGGGGTATCAAGTCTATATGTTGTGTGACTGTTGATAATGCAAGTGCTAACAATTTGGCAATTGATTATTTAAATCGAGGCATGAGTTTTTGGAATGGTCGTACTTTGTTTAATGGGGAGTACTTGCATATGAGATGTAGTGCTCACATATTAAACTTGATTGTCAAAGAAGGAATAAAGGATATTGATGAATCTGTTAAAAGAATTAGGGCTGCATGTAAGTTTGTCAAGGCTTCTCCTAGTAGGTTGGCTACTTTCAAGAAGTGTGCAGAAGCTGTTGGTGTATGTTCTAAAGCATTGGTAACACTAGATGTAGAAACCAGATGGAACTCTACTTATTTAATGTTGAACATCGCTGAAAAGTATGAACATGCATTTTACCGCTTAGAACATGCTGATGTTGCATTTTTAACTAATCTCCGTATTGAGTCGAAAGGATGTCCTAATCGAGCTGATTGGGAACGAGCTCGTATTTTTGTGAAATTTTTGAAAACTTTTTATGATGCCACACTTTCTTTTTCTGGGTCATTGCATGTTACTGCTAACTCTTTTTTCAAACAGTTGATGGATATTAAAAAAACGTTGAATAAATGGAGGCACAATGTTAGTGATCCAATTTTGAAAACCATGACAGCAAATATGCAATTGAAGTACAACAAGTATTGGGAAAGCAATACAATAAATTATCTTCTCTTTGTTGCTATTTATCTTGATCCTCGTTATAAGCTTGACTATATTGAATTTTGTTTTACTCGGATGTATGGTAAAAAATTGTCAGAGGATATGTTAAAGAAATTGAAATCTCTCATTGCTAAATTGTTTGAGCACTATTTATTTTTGTATCCTGTTTCTCATGATAGTGGTTCCAATGCCTCATCTTCAAACATTGCCTCTCATTCTAGAATTGAAAATGGTGAAGATGATGAAGATTGGGACAATTTGTTTAGAATGAATATGAAGAAAAAACAATGTGAAGTGCAAAAAAATGAGTTGGAAAGGTATTTGGAGGATGGTGTTGAAGATGATTCTCCTACATTTAATATTCTCACTTGGTGGAAAGGAAAAACAAATAAATATCATGTGCTTTCCCGCATAGCTAGAGATATATTGGCTATCCCTGTATCCACTGTATCTTCTGAATCCGCTTTTAGTACAGGAGGTCGTGTCCTTGATTCATTTCGTAGTTCCTTGAATCCCTCTACCGTTGAAGCTTTGATTTGTACTCAAAATTGGATCAAATCTCCTAAGGTCATTGATTTAGAAAAAGAGTTGGTTGAATTGGAAAAGGTTGAGTCAGGTATGAATTATATGTTTGAATTTTAAAATCTATTTTATTTTAGTATTACATTACATTATTCTTATTAGTTGTTGTTAGATTTTGGTGCTATTAGACCAATATTGGACCAATACATCTATGTCATTTTAAGACTAAG